AATCAAAAAACTTTTCTACCTTTTAAAATTGTTTATTTTTAAATAATTTATTAATACTCAAATTGTTTAAAAGATATGTTCCTTTTCATTGACAACACAGTTTTATATTTTATCTAGCCATTTATTTATATTTTTTAAACTTATTTTTTATTTGTTTTTATTTTATTAAATTAAATGCACAGATTTAAAATAAAAACAAATCTGCCAAAATTTTATAAATAGTTTCAATTTGCAATTTTAAGAAGTTATTTCGACTTTGCTTTAAAAATTTGAAATCCTTATAAATTAAAAAATTTAGATGCCTTATTAACTTTAAACACATAATAACAACAAAAATCAGGGAGTTAAAAATAGAAACAAGTATGATCAATAAACAATAAAATCATAAGCTAACTAAATAAATGAATTTTGTGTACGAAATATCATATTTTACAAATTAAACATAATTCATATTTCGGGGATACATGGAAAATTTGGTCAGACAGGAGGTTTGAACAATATTTTTTACATATATATTTAAACATTTGTTTAGCTGATGATCACTTGATTTCAATGCTCTATCAAGCAATATCACATGTTGCTTCTGTCTATTAGCAGTAAGTAAAATTAAAGTAAAACCACATCTGTTATCTCAATTTCATCCAAAATAAACCAAATCAAGAATTTTGGCAGATAGGCCTGTCAAAGAGGGAATTGAATAGTGGCCCACCATTTAAATAAATAAAGAAAGGAGTTCACGGATTCATGTACGATTAATTTGGAAAATAACAAATTAAAATCAATTACAATAATTAAGTAAATTAAACAATTAAGCTAGTTAAAACATTTAGGATAATTAAAAGGAAAAAAAGATTTTGTAATAAATTGGAAAACATATATTTTGTAAAAAAGAAAAGTTAAAATTAAACGAGAAGCTCCTAAACGACAATGAGACACAACGGAAATCTCGAAACAAAGTGACCCTAAACAAGATTCTAGAAATCAGACAAAAGGGTGTTTCTGTGGACAAAAGAGCCCACAGCAATTTAAAGGAGCTGAAAATATTTCCCACAGTGTAAATTGAGGCGGCTATTTGACTACTCCATGGAGTACCGCTTTTAAGGATCCATGGACTACTCCCATCACTGATAGCTACGAAAGCTACAGGATATTTTCATCAGTCAAAAGGCCTTTTTATTGCTCTTTTGGTTAAAAAAGTAACAATTATTTTATACTTGTAAACACTTCTATTAGATTTTGAAAAGCGTTCGCCAATGTAATAAAGAAAAAAAAATTATTTTAGGCTTCATAGGGCTCCAGCTCCAAATAAAACTTTAAAAAAAGAAGGAAAAAGTAGGATCTGGGGGCCCTTGCCATCTGGGGGCCCCAAGCTACAGCTTATTTAGCTTATACGTAAATCCGGCCCTGACTTAAAAGTATACATAATAACCAGTACAAATATTTTTAATCTAATTCATGTGTTAGAATACTTATAAAAGTAATATAAACTAAGAAAAAAAACTAAAGAAAAAAAGTCTAAAATATTAATCTATGATAAATTAACAAAAAATATGTAGGAAAATAAAATTTTAAGACAAAAAATATTAGCTGAGAATATTATATATTAATTATAAATAATGCGCTTATTATATCATAAAGATCACAAATTGCTTTTCCTATTTATATAATAATTTTTGAGAAGATAATTTTATAATTTATTTATAATCATTGAAAATTTTTATAAGTTACATTTTATTTTTGACTAGAATCAAAAAGATTTAAATTATAAAACAAAAAATTGAACAGAATTTGATTTTATTTTTTGCCAGCATAAACTAAGTTGATTACAATTGACTAAATTCCATTAAAAAAGTTTAAAAGAATCTAGAACATCAAATCATATTTCAATGGAAAAAAATTAAATTCAAATTACCATTACCATTAAAGAAAGCTTCAATGTTTCATTAGGTTTTATTTGTTATTTACTTTATTTCTCGATTTCAGCATTTTCTTTCAAAAAATATTCTCAGTTTCTTTTCTACAAAAAAGGAAATTAAAATAGAAAAAATAAGTAATCGATGCTATTTCCCTTAGCTTAAATAAATTATTTCAATTCCCTAATAATGAAATAATTTGAATAATTGTAATTTTTTTATACAAAGGGTATCTTTGTCCTGAGAAATGTATTTAACTCGCGCCTTTCGTTTTTTTTCGTTCAAAAAATACGTTAAAGAATAAAAATAGAATCTCAGTATTTTTAATCTTAGTTTCATACATATTTAAAGATTATTTTCCAGTAATCCCTTATTTTTATTCTGAACAATCTTTTTTGTTTTATTATTGCTGTATCGTATTAGAAATCTTATCAGATTTTGTATTTGTTTGAGCTTTCATGTCTGATATTTCATATGTTTCGAAATTTATATTGTCTGCACTTTTTTGTTGTTTTTATTTATTTTTTGTACAGCAAGTTTATTTTACAGTAACAAATTGTTAAAGATAGCAAATTATGCAGTCCTTTTTAAATTTTTTTTTAAAAGATTAAAATTAAATTACATTATATAGTACCAAATATCACTAGCAGCAATGAGGTAACAGAAAATGAACCAAAAAATGCGAATAGAAAAAGTACCTAAATTAAATAATCTAGATTGGATTTAACTAAACAAATAAATCGCTATTTCTTGAATTTTGTGGATCTTTTCTCCATTGATAATTTTATTTTGTGCATAAAAAACGAATCGTCGAACAATAGCACTAGAAAGTATTTTAAACTTTCTTTTTATCTTCTATGAGACTTTTAGAAACATAAATAAGTTATTTTAACTTAAGGAATAAGTATATTTAGTCGTTCTAAGGAGTTAACAAAGCGTTTCTAGAATTTAAAAAATGTTTTTTTATTAAAAATGTATAATATAGAATATATGTATAAACAAATATATGTATTATATTTATATATATATANTACAGGTAAACTTTACATCTGTAAATTTACTGAGTTTTTTTTTTGTTTTTTTTTTGTTTTAATTTTTTTTGTTTTGTTTTTTTTTTGTTTTGCGTATGTATTTGTATTGGAAATGTTAACACTAAACGTGATGTTTGTTGACAGCATCATAGTTGTATAAATTTAATGTAGTTAAAAAAATTTTTTATTATACCGTAATAGCAAGTTTCAAGTACTACAAATTTTAAATCTAATATAATTTAAAATTGTTTAAAATTTTGAGTTAAGTGCAAGAAGTGAAATATTATTTTTATAAGTAGATTCAAAAGAAAATAATACTAAAATAGCTCTTTCTACAAAATTTTTGAACATCAAATAATTACAAATAGCAACTTTTAAATAAGTAATTAAAAATGCAAATAATATTGTTCAAAATATTGATAAGAACAATATTATTCAATCTTTTGTCACATGGATATAAATTATTATAGAATACCCCATAATTTGATGTTTTTTCTTCACTTTTTAAGTCACTACAACTGCCAAAGAAATAAAATTTATTAATAAAATCAATCAGTTTTGAAACTATAGTGTCACAAATATCTAAAAGGTGCAGTTTTAAATCTTCATACAACTTTAAAGTCAAACAAAAAATCGCGTCGTTAATGCAGTTCTTTTGTACTTTCTTGTTCCTAATTTGTTCTTATCGTTTTAAATACTAAATTAAAACGTTTGAATTTTTAACAATTGTTTGTTATCGTTTTAAATTATTAACTTAACTGCTCCAACCATCTTCTAACATCCTGCGCATTGTTAAAATTCCTAATCAAATTACGGTGAACAGTGCCGGTACTTAATGTTACTCAAGGTGCCAATATTTTTACCGTAAAATTTATTTTTTATCGAAACTTGTTACGGTACAAAAAAATCTGCTACACAGTTATTTTACCATAATTACCATAAAATTTGCAGTAATAATTACAATGAAATCACTGAATCATTATAATTAAATAAATATTACTGAAAAAATTACGGTATAATATTTTACGGTAAAAATGGATTTCAGTGTAAAATGAATTTTACGGAAGATGCCCCCAAAGTGCCGGTTCTTTATACAGTAATTTGATACGGAATTTTTTACAGTGTGCTTTAAAATATGGATTGTAAAATCGCTAACATTTATAATTTGTTTTTAAACGTACATTTCAAAACGATTTTTGAAAATATTTTGTCTTAAAAAAAATCAGATTTTTTAATGTATTCACGTTTAAAGTTTTTTTTTTAAATTCTAATTTTCCTTATCGAAGTGCAAGGAAATTAAAATAAGTAATTTTATAATTTTTTTTTTAAAATTAATATAAATTTTAGTCCCTCTATGATCAAATTTAGCAAAAATATAAATAAGAAACTTTTACTTTGCTAAATGAAAAAACAAAATGTTTGAATTCGTAAATTTATTTTAAGAGCTATGCAATGCACCCATGTCTGAACTTGTGCTGTAGTAAATTAAAAAATGTTCAAATATTGTGAAACAATTAATTTTAACGAAGCATTTTTATGCTTTAAACCTAAATGTTTATCAAAAATAAAAATAATATATATTATTTTTTATAAAATTTGTATTTTCTTTAAATTAATAAAACTTTGCGATTTATTTACACTGCCATAATAGCGAATAAATACTGAACTAAATTTTGTCTTAAAAGATTGGGCGCAGAAATTAACTGAGCAGAAGGAATTAGTTTAAAAATTGTAATACTTAATAACAGCTTTTCGTTATTTTTACTCATAATTTAGTTCTTTAGTGACCATAACTTTTTTCTACCAGAATTTAAATAAACTACCATATGCTTGTTTAAGCATACCCATTTCATTGTGTAAGTTATATTTTATGGCAACTTTTTCTTCCATTTAACTTGAATAACATTACTGGATGAAATATTCGAACAATTTATTCCGACCGATTTACTCTTTCAGAACTAACTCCACTTTTTCAGAAGAAATAATTCTCTCCCGAAATCCTGGCAGTGTGGCGAGTGATTCCTGGGATTTGGCGCTGGGTTTGGCGCCGAAACAGCTCTAAATATACGACTCTCAGAATCTTCTCTCTTCGCTAGAGTCCCGAGCGTGTTTTCTGTGAGTTCTAAGTAAAGAATGCATATCTATGGATAACTTAGTTATATTGTCCTGCATCTTTCAAACATGCCTTGACCACAGGTGAGAATTTTTTTTTTGGATGTTATTATTGTTGTTGATAATTTTTTTCTTATCAAAATAACTTATCAAGGAGTGATGAGGTTAAAGAAGGTTTTAAGGTTAAACCATCCCAGTTCTTTAAGAGGAATAGAAGACATGCGGGAATGGGAATAAGTATAGCAACCCAAACTCTTCTTCTCTTACTATACTAAGAGAACCTTCATCGGTGTTGAGATCTTATTCGTTTTTGGATGAATTTTTATTTTGGTGTTTTGTTGTGGTTTTTAGCACAGGATAATTTTTTATTTCTATTTCTTATGACTGCGGACGGAAATCTTTTTTCATAATCTAGTTACCTTGCTTAAGTTGAAATACTTTTGCGGCTGTCTGTTTTCCTTTCTGAGTTGTTTATGGTTTTGAATTTTTAATCGCTCTTTTCTTAAAGCAACTTTCTAAAGTTTAGAGGTGCTTTTAATAGTTTTTTAATGTCTGTTTAGATTTTTTATGTGAGTTGTAATAAAATATTTGTGTATAAAGATTTTATGCCAAGTTATATATTTTAAATTTTACTCTCCAAATGTATTAAATTATTAATAAACGCATGGAAATTATTTTTTGTAAAAAAATAAAGTTATTCGCTACATGTATTTTTAATATAAAATATATTTTTTATTATTTTATGGACTTTTGATGGAAGTTATGTATAATATATCTCTTTCTTAAACCGTGATAACGATTAATAATAATTGTATAGGTTCTATATTTATAAAAACTTAAATTTACATTAAAAAAAATACTTATTGAATGTATTTAAAGTAAACTTTTGGCACTTATTACATTTCTTTAATTTTATTGTTCAAGAATTTAGTGATTAGAAGATAATGCGAGATTATTTCAAGTACATTTTAATGCACTTTTCTCAAAATTGTTTTGACTTAAATTTTTAATGCAATGCGTTAAAAACATAGTTTTAATATTATTAAAATATTCATTATTTTATTTAGAATATTAATTTATTTTTAATTTAAAACTAATGCAATATATTGCTTTAATAATCCAAAGAAATTTTCCGATACAGTGCGATTTTTCAATTTTTGATTTTGATATTGATAGAATTCAGTTTTCAAGATTAATTCAAGTTCACTTTAATAAACTTTTCTCAAAATTTTTTTTACTTAATTTTTTTAAAATTTAATGCAATGCGTTGAAAAAATATTTTTGATATTATTGAAATATTCATTATTTTATTTAAAATAATAATTTATTTTCAATTTAAAACTAATCCATTATATTGCTTTTAACAACCTAAATACATTTTCTGATACAATGCAATTTTTTAATTTTATATTGATGGAATTCACTTTTTAAACATTATGCTTGTTTAACCTAAAAAAGTATCATTAGAATATTTATGTATGAAACTGATTTTTTTAGCAATTAAAATTCAGTAAGCGAAAGTTTATTTTTATCGAAAAATATCTGAATTTTTTTTTAGTCAAAGTAAGAAAATAATTGAAAAATGAAATTCTTGTATTTTATGTAAATTTGACATACATTGATCTATAAGGTAAATTAAAAACATTCTCGAAAGCATTCTAGATATCTATTTAAACAAATTTAGCTAGCCAAGAAATTATTTTAAGGAAACGGCCTGTTGATTTGAAAGTTCCTTATACATTCTTTCAAATATATTTTTCACAATCAGTTTACTCGACAGAAATTGATTCTCAAAAATAAAAGTTTCTTCCTCCATTTTGGCAATTTTCCCATTTTTCTTGGTAAAGTATGCTAAATCGGTTACTTTTAAAATGATGCTGCTTGAAATTTTTCACCGTTCGCTTACTCGAGGTTTGTGCTAATAGAAGTTTTCTTTTTTACTATAGAATATTGGAAGTAAAAATATTTCTTTCATCGAATTTGGTAACAGGTGTTTCCAGTCGCAATGCTTCAATAGTTATTTTTTAAAGAAACATTGCATATTAAATTTTAATATTTGCTTAGCTATGCATTTCTAAATTTAAAAATTCTTTGGCAAAATGTATCGAATAAATATTAATATATTCATTGAAATCGGTACTTACATATTTTCACTATAAATAAATTAGAGATTTTATTGAGCAGTTTTTATTTTTTTGTTAAAATAATTTTTAAGATTAACTTCTTGAATAAAAATGAAAAATGTGTAAACGTTTTAAAATAATGCTAAAACAAAGCATTTCGAAACTTTTTTAAACTAAAATCTAGTACTACTATTTATTCCCTAGCCTTGCTCCTAATAAATGTCCGATACCCTTCTTTATTCCCCCAAATTAACTATCCAATAAGTATTTTAACGACCTAAATAAGCTGCCTGATTCGCATTTTAATTGACCAAAAGTAACTGCCCAATATGTTTTTTATTGAATCACTATAATTTTCCTTTGCGTTTTGCATTTAACCAAAATAAATCTTCAATATGCTTTTTTGCCGTTCCGAGTACTCTCCCATATGGTTTTTTCCGATTCAAGTTTTCTCCGATATGCTTAATTTTACGATCCGAGTACTCTCCGATATGCTTTTTGCCCGATCCAAGCACTCTCCGATACACTCAAAAAACTACTCCATGTTTTTTCTTTTTTAAATTTTTTTTTTTTAAGTTGCGGTGAATTGATAATGTACTACTAATAGTTAGAATGTGGCATTTACACGTGAGGACTCTTTCACTTGTGCATATTACTTTTAACCAGATTCCTCTGTTATATGGTATACCACATTAGCAATTATTTAACACTAAGTTAGCTAGTGCAGCTAAATTATTAAATACACCCATAGAACTATCATTGACGAGGCTAAAAAATAAAAACAACCATACAGAGAAAAAAATCTGCTAAAATTACCGCATTGTATGGTAGTGGCATTTCTGGTAAAAAAACAACAAAAAAACACCAAAAAAAACAAACAAAAAAGAACAATTCCAGCTGTAAAAACTAAAATATAGGATATTTAAACCATCCATTAGATAATTTTTCCGTTAATATGCTACCAGTATACAGGAAATTCTGGTTTTCAAAACTATAGTTCATATTACTACGCATTTAGTAAAAAAATACTATCTGAAAAACAAAATTTAGCAGAACAAATTGTTTTTCATGCCATGCTCTGAGTAATCAATATAAAATTACCAAGTTTTACTACATTAACCAAATTTTTTCTCAGATTATAAAACCTTATTTTTTTGTTAATATTACCAAGATGAAAGTTCTTTGGTAAAAATTACCGAGCCTTTTGTTGTCCTCATAGAGTCAGAAACGCTAGAAATGTCACCATATTCCGGTAGTTTGACAATACTTTTTGTCTCAGTGCACAAAAATTAACGAGTACAAAAAACAAAAATCATGCAAATTAATTACTACATAATCTATAAAAATTAATCAATAAACTAAATAATGCATATTAGTGCAAAATTATTACACTGATATTTTTTTATACTCAAAAGAATCTGTTATTAAGTTGTTTTTTAAATTCAATTCATTAATTATTTATTATAATTAGCACCAGTTATAAATAAATGGTAACACATAACACATATAATAATAGTTATACAGAGCCATATTTTTACGTTATGTTAAAACGTGTTTTTTTGCTACACCAATTGAACTCATTTCAAAGAATACCCGTATGCAATTCCCGTTTAACGTTGGAATAATTTTTGCATACGTTTTTGGCACTATTACTATTTATATTTTTGTGGTATTTATTTACGGTTCTTCTTCACAAATGATTTATTCTTTTTAGTATAGAATATAGTATAGAGACTATAATCTAATGATTTTATTGAATTATTTAGCCAAATTTTTAAAGAATACCTCATCGGTATACACTGCTAGAAATTTCTCGGAAAAAAATGGTTAAATAATAATTTATAGAATGGTTATTTCACCATATTTAATCAAAACAGTCAAATAACCGTAAATAAAATGGTATTCAAACTTTTAAGTTTGAGAAAAACTGTTTGTTAACTGCTTTCAACTAATACGGTTAAACAACCAGAATTTTATCGCACCAAACCTAATGAATCTACATAGTTCTTTTCAACTGCGTACGTATCGTAACCGAGCGGGCATATCTGTCAATCTCATAACCGGCAGAACTGGAGTTCGAATCCTAGTGTTGACACCACGATATTTCCTCCATTTCCTTCAGCACGTGAAGAATTTTCAGTGTCCGACACTCTCCAATGCCCGATACCTTACGAAAAGCCGAGCTCCTATGTCTAGTTAAATAATTATTTTTTTTACGTTTTTTAAAAATGCTAGTTGTAAATTTAAAAATAAAAAAAACAGTATAGTTTTGTTTTCGTGGTTTTATAACCATGCTTTTTGTAAATAGCTTCAAAACCATAAAGGAGAAAAATATTCTTCACCGTAAACTTTACGGTTAATCGGATGAACAGACAGCTGCCAGTTATTTTACCATGACTTTAGAATGAAAATTTTAACAGTGCAACTGAAAATTAATGCCTTTTTCGGTAAATTATCAACAATATTTGCTCATAATATAAGCATCATACGTTGAAAGTTTTTTTGTGTTATCAACGTATGATGCTTATATTATGAGCAAATCATAATAAAAAAATATATGGGCAGCTGTCTGCTTTTGTGCATATTTCCGTATTTTGCTTCTCTAAATCGCTGCAAAACACATACATTGCCCGTGAGTTACTCTATTCCTATTTTGCTCTACTACGAAATTACTACGAATTACTAATAACTACGAAACAGAAGTAGCGCTTTTTATCGAAAATAGGAATATGTACATAATGTGAAACAATCGTGTTTTAAAAATACTATTTTTGGAAAGACTTTAAAAGCTAAACTAAATTAAGTTGGCTGACTTAAACTATTAAAAACCTTTTGTATTTATAGATAAAAATATTTTTTTCAACCATATAAAATTAAATACCTGCAATGCTAAGATTGGAATATACTTGGTAAATATAGCACATATGGTAGGAAAAATTTTAAAATTTTAATCCGTGCTGT